ATATATATATATATATAGGATTACATACAGGTATTTATAATGTCATTTTACAGACAACATCAGAACAACCGCTTCTAGTAAATTTAGAAGTTAAATCCAGCAGCCAGACAAGCTCATATACATACTGCACATATATAAACCATTATAGGCTCAAAAAATAACTTCCTTTTCAGGTTAAAATAGATACGTAAATAGTAATAGATAGACCATCCTAATACTGGTTATTTATCTAATTCAAGACGGATGAGGTAATTTTGTAATAACAGATAGACCATCCTGTGTCATTGTATATCAGCTCCATCTCAAATAATACAACATGGTAAAATGTAGGAAAAATTTTGTAAAGCAAGCAACTTCAACACCTCTATTATAACCTCACATTGATGGTAATTAATATCACTCTATCACCATCGAAAAATAAAATAAATAGAATTTATGTGTAAATAAGAAATTATGAATCTAAAATGCTACACCAACAACTTTGGGACCTACATTTGTAGACCAAATGATTGGACACATCTGCACACCAATTAAATTTTCTCGGATTCCCTTATTTATTGGGTGTTAGTGTGTTCTTCAGTCAGCAAAATTGGTAAGACTCTCGTTTCAAATTGTATTGTATAAACACATGGGTTGGTAAATTCTTATTTCATGATTGATACCATGAACCTTATTCTTGTAATTCAGTTTATCAAACCAATACAAGTAGAGTAATTATGAGATCCAAATATCACTAATACTTTTAGATCCTAAAAATTTAACTTAATATCGTAAATTAATAATGCGCCAAGTATGATGTTGTTTATGGTTGCTATTACATTGATACTAATAGAGTATTAATTAATAATTATTAGATTAATAAATTTAATAAATTTTTTAAATTTCAATAATATTTCTATATTGTATTTGCATTGGCATATTTATAATATAAAATATAATAAATATTAATTAATTTATTCAACGATCTCAAATAAATTAATTTAACAACTACTAACGTTCCTTTTAAAATTATTTTGGTTGCGCCCGGATTACTCCTAACTTTTACTAATAAGAAAGAGCATCACGATGTGTCCCCGTCCCCGTCCCCTGCCAACAAAACGTTCACGGTTGGCACCGACATTGTTGCTCCTATTGGCTACGTTGTCATGTCTGTACACCACGCTGAAAATGCTAAAAGCAGTGGTCCCATTAACAAACAATACACCACCCGCCCCTCTCCCTAGCTAAGAAAAAGAAATAGGCACGTACAAAAACCGTGCACAGCCTGTCCTATCTTCTGTCTAATTCTCCCAATTTAGCATATCAAAACGAAACACAATTAAAGCCATGCAGACAATGTGGGGCCAGTTAGAAGGGATGCTGACCTGGATACGGACGTAATCACTGCTACGGCTATGACCAAAGGCCATAGCCACGGCGTGGTCTACCAGATCCGCCGAGCCATCAGCCGAAATACGACCCAGCGGCTTAGCCCAGTCCTTGGCTTTCCAGCTTTTGACTTGATCGTAGTCGAAGCTACACTCCAGAAGCTGACCGGAGCCAAGAGAAAGTACCAAAAGGTCCTCCACGCCACGCACGAACGGAAACTCCTGCTTGTTATGGAGCACGTGGGTAATAGCCGCTGCCGTGGGGTTGCTCATGGCTAAGCCGCCGTGGACGGCCACGCAACGAGTCTGACCGTCGACGGACTTCATGAAAACCGGTTCGAACAAAGCCGGATCGGCTGAGGTGGCTCGGCAAACCTCCCAGAGCCTGAAGTCGAAGCTGTCCGTTTCCAGAGCGTCGGCTCGAGAGAACAAAAACGGCGCCGTTGAAGAGAGATCATAGCACGGTATCAAAACCGGCTTCAACGTGTCTTTCAACGTCAAACTCCGGCCGTTTTCTGTAAACACCCCCTTCATTACTTTCTCTAAACCGGCTGTGGCTGAACTGGCGTCGCCACCACCTGCACCTCGAAAAATTCGCCGGAGAAAGCTTTTACCGCCAGAACTTGAACTAGATGACTTGTAGAATCGTTTTCCTTGTTCTGCCAACAGCTTCCAAGTGTCCTCCGCATGGAAAACTGGACGGTTGTGATTTTTGGTGGCAAATAGCATCGCCGTAAAAATGCCTCCCACCCCGGAACCAGCGGCGACGTCGAAATAATCAGCGATTCTGGCATCAGGATTTCCCGATTTTCGCTTCAACGCGTGTTCGAGGAAGGCTAGGACTTTACCTGGTAGAATGTTTCGCATTCCACCACCGTCGATGCTGAGTATGCAGATTTTGCCTCTCTGGTTCTTGATAGCTTGAACGCCATTATCGGTCGCCGTTTGTTGAAATACGACTTCTAAATTTGGTTGTTCGACGGTGGGAGAAATCTGTTTGGGAATCCAGAGTTTCCGATCGTCGTAGCCGAAGAGGAATTTGCTTTCGAGGATTGAGAAAATTTCATAGCTGAGCTTATCGGTGTCGATGCTGGGCTCTTGCATTTCCAAGAATTGATTACAATCAATTTCGTTTAGCAAAGACATCTCAAAACTCAAATAGAATCTTCAAAGCACTTATTGTAACCTTCTAGGATTTGAGGAAGGTATTAAACGCCAAGCCAATCCTCAGGATTAATTTCTGGATATAAATAAATAAATATATATATATATATAGCTCTGTATATATCTCTGTGTGGCTGACGACCTCTATATTCCTGAATTCGGCATCAAACGATTCACCTTGGAACTGCCGCCATTAAAATAACATTACCATTCACCACCTCCATTTCCCATTCCCTCCACCTGAAATCAAACCTCTCTCTCTCTCTCTATACGTGTATATATGTATTTATCTCTCTAAATACAATTCCGAGTCGGAGTGAAGGGCAATGGTTTTGCTTTCTCTGCAAAGCTGATGGTGAATCTACCTCTCTCTCTCTCTCTCTCTATATATATATATATATATATATATATATATACAGAACACGGCGAAGTTATAATATATAGAGAGAGAGGATAGAGAAGTAACCAAGGCAGCCTATGTGCAAGACATGAAACGAATATTTNTGACAACGGGGTCTAGTTGGGAAGAGCCTCTTTTTGTCTTGTTTCTCTCTGACGCTTGTCGTTTAGCAAGTGGGGACCATGAACGAGCGAACACCGTCGGCGAAAGAATGGAGCCCCCCCCTCCCTCTTCTTTTTCTTTTTTTTAATGATTAAAGTTTATTTTATATTTATTTTTCTCGTACGTGACTGGACTTACCTTAATTGTAATATTTGCATGTTTAGAATCAATTATAAATGTTATTATTCATTCTAAAAATTTAATATCAATCACAAAAACATTAAAAGAGTATAACTTGATCTAAAAAATATAATTTTTTTACAAATGATAAGTTAAATCTGTCGAGCTCATGTTTTTAAATAAATTTAAAATATTATTCAAATTCAACTCGTTTAAAAAATGAGTCTAGCTTGAGTCGAGTTATAAATTTTGAGTAGTTCAATTACTTTACATATTAACGAGTCGAGTTTATGAATTCAAATCTAAATCCGTTTAAAAAAACTTAATTGAATTCAAATAAACTAATTAAAATATTAGTCCAATTAAATAGATTTAAATTTGGATTGAATTTAGATTAAATTTCACTCCATGGAGGGGCCTAAATATGACTATTTGTTGATAGTATGATTCTCATCATGCAATTTATAATTAAACGGAATTCACCCGATTTCAAACTAATCGGGCACGCGAGCTTGAGTATGTTTTGGACATTCTAAGAGGGAGCACCCTAGCAATTATAACTTCTAAGTGAAATAGAAAAGGATAATTCTATGTGCATTAAATTTATGCACAAAAACTTATACCAAATCAATTTTAGTTGTTGAATCACTAATGGGACCATTGATTCAACAACTACAAGTGATTTAGTGTAAATTTTGATATATATTTTTAACATACATAACATTGCTCAATAGAAAATAATCAAAATACATAGAAATGGTAATGTCATTCCCGCACCCAAAGGTCACCGCTTCTTTGTTTGTTTAATAGATTTGGACGGTTGGTTTGAAGTAAAATAGTTTAATTTATCATTCAATTCCATGTTTGGTTAAAATTTTTAAATCCAAAATTCATATCCCAACCCGTAACTGGCCCGGATGATTAAACCCATGAGAGGGNCGGTTGGTTTGAAGTAAAATAGTTTAATTTATCATTCAATTCCATGTTTGGTTAAAAATTTTAAATCCAAAATTCAAATCCCAACCCGTAACTGGCCCGGATGATTAAACCCATGAGAGGTNCGAGTCATGTGCATATCTTCAATGGTGTTTATGGTATTTTACAAACAAAACAGAAAACAAAATAAAAAATTAGTTGCCTCCCTCCCTCTCTCTCCCCCCTCAGAAATCAATAGCCTTGTCCCAACTGTATATCCCCACTCTCTGCAACTCCATAGGCCAACCGATGATTACCACCACCTCTATCACTCCACCACCACCATCATCACCACCATTGCTATTTCCACCATAAAACAACAACACATGAAATCTCGATGACTCACACAATTTTTGAGAACGAAGCAAAGATTAGAGAGAAAGAAATCAGAAAAGAGAAAAGGAATCACAATCATAATCTAATGTCCAATTCAAACCTAATTTTTCATTAATCCAAAATTTAGAGGTCTAATACTTAGATGATTAATGAGCAATCTTGGGCTGAGTCCATTATTTAGAGCTTGACTACCTATGGAGGTCTCTGCAAATCATACTTGCATTTGTGCGTGTCTGCATGTAGGGATTTGTGTGTTTGTGTATGCTTTTATGGTTTTTTGTGTTGCGTGTGTGTTGGGGCTTGAGAGAGGGAAGATGTGTAGGATTTGAGGGCGACAGACGCAAGAAAGTAGAGAGAGTGATTTGTGGGTTTGAGGGAAAGGATGCGTAAAAGAAAACTAGAAAGAGAGAGAGAAAATTTGTGCAAGAACCGAGATATAGATTTGGTCATCATAGTGGGCAGTGTGATTGATGTCAGCATCCTTGAGACAAAGATTTGTTTCTTGTGTGGTGTTTGTGCATCACATGGAGGCTAGGATTTGAGAGATAAAGAGAGGGTTTAGTTGGACTGAATGGAGAAAGGCGTCACATGGAGTTAGGGTTTCGATTCTTCGTCTTGGATTAGTCAGCACACATATAGAAGAGAGAGAGAGGGAGAATATGTTTGGTTTAGGAAGAGAGAGCACAACAAAACAGATACAAAAGAGAAAGAAAAAAAAAAGGAGAAAACGAAGATCCATATTTGGATGTATGACTAATATTGTCCAAATAGAAAATAATATTGTTTGAATGCATAGATTATTATAAAAAAACCCTTGAAGATATACACGTTACTGGCACATTGTGTTTTTCGTCTATTTTTATAACTGCAGTTAGTGTCAAGTATCAAATTGACTAAATGTTTAAACTTTAGGGATGAAATTAACGAAATTAAAATTTTAGAGATAAAAGTGTAACAAACGGTAAACTTTAGAGACTATGGATGCAATTTACGCTTTTAAAAAGTCATATTAATTTTACTCTCTCCCTCTCCCTCTCCCAATCTGCAAATAGTATGTTGTTTATGGCGTTAACCATGGTCAGCGGTGATTTACTGTCACCGACGGTTGTCGTATAAACTCCGTTGGGAAAATGGACGGCTGAGATTGAACACTGGTTGGTGTGGGACTGTGTGTGTGTGTGTTGTGTCCGTGACAACGGGGTCTAGTTGGGAAGAGCCTCTTTTTGTCTTGTTTCTCTCTGACGCTTGTCGTTTAGCAAGTGGGGACCATGAACGAGCGAACACCGTCGGCGAAAGAATGGAGCCCCCCCCTCCCTCTTCTTTTTCTTTTTTTTAATGATTAAAGTTTATTTTATATTTATTTTTCTCGTACGTGACTGGACTTACCTTAATTGTAATATTTGCATGTTTAGAATCAATTATAAATGTTATTATTCATTCTAAAAATTTAATATCAATCACAAAAACATTAAAAGAGTATAACTTGATCTAAAAAATATAATTTTTTTACAAATGATAAGTTAAATCTGTCGAGCTCATGTTTTTAAATAAATTTAAAATATTATTCAAATTCAACTCGTTTAAAAAATGAGTCTAGCTTGAGTCGAGTTATAAATTTTGAGTAGTTCAATTACTTTACATATTAACGAGTCGAGTTTATGAATTCAAATCTAAATCCGTTTAAAAAAACTTAATTGAATTCAAATAAACTAATTAAAATATTAGTCCAATTAAATAGATTTAAATTTGGATTGAATTTAGATTAAATTTCACTCCATGGAGGGGCCTAAATATGACTATTTGTTGATAGTATGATTCTCATCATGCAATTTATAATTAAACGGAATTCACCCGATTTCAAACTAATCGGGCACGCGAGCTTGAGTATGTTTTGGACATTCTAAGAGGGAGCACCCTAGCAATTATAACTTCTAAGTGAAATAGAAAAGGATAATTCTATGTGCATTAAATTTATGCACAAAAACTTATACCAAATCAATTTTAGTTGTTGAATCACTAATGGGACCATTGATTCAACAACTACAAGTGATTTAGTGTAAATTTTGATATATATTTTTAACATACATAACATTGCTCAATAGAAAATAATCAAAATACATAGAAATGGTAATGTCATTCCCGCACCCAAAGGTCACCGCTTCTTTGTTTGTTTAATAGATTTGGACGGTTGGTTTGAAGTAAAATAGTTTAATTTATCATTCAATTCCATGTTTGGTTAAAATTTTTAAATCCAAAATTCATATCCCAACCCGTAACTGGCCCGGATGATTAAACCCATGAGAGGGTGAGTTTGAAATCAACCAGCCTAAGATCATTGTAAGTGGATTTTTCTTTCCTTAATCTACCCAATTACAAAGGATTGAATAGGACAATTTAGTCAATTACACAACAAATGTTTAGTTATAATTATAATTAATCTGGGGATCCCATACGTGTATATGTTACCCACCAAACACAAGAATAAATAAAATTCATCTATGAATCCCATGTACAACCAATCCAATCCCCATACCCAAAATATCCAAACATGCCACTGTTGTTTTGCTTTGAAGGTGCCACGGGATGGGTTCGGGCAACACACCCAAACCCCCCTCTCCCCTTCAAAAAAAAAACCCCAAAAAAACCCCCTCCTTTGTATATCTCAGTTGATGCTTTGTTTTGATAGTATCATATGAATGCTGCTCAACAGATTCTTCAGCAAACACAAAGGGGTCTTCAATAAACCATAGGAGAGTAGGTGTCTGTCCTAATAATGACTACTGATACAAAGAGCACGTAGGAAACGGTTTTATTCAATCAAGGATACCAATACAGACAATAAACATACTCAGATACAGATTGAAACAAGCTTCTCATTGTCATCCGAGGGGAAATCCATAAAACAATACCCTAGAGCTTGATCGAGATCTTAGTTTCTTACACTTGTCACGTGCTTCAGAAGCATCTGGACAACATCATGGGAAATTCGTTCAGCCTCTGCTTTCAGATTATGGATCTTTGCTTCCGTTTCTTGTTCAAGACGCTTCACATTAGCACCCGAGTCTCCACTACTCTGTTTGATGACACAGGATAACATCTAATTACTGCATAAATAACATGAAATACAATGGCAAAGAGCCATTGAAAATTCTAGAATTCCATGTATGATACGGACAACAAAAGAAGTTGGGAATAAGGATGATAAAGAGGAGGACATAAAAACTTCTCATGAATATACGTTAACTTGGACAATAAAAACTCACATTAGACAGTTCTTTATTATTAACTTTTTCAGATACATCTAATGAGTTTGGACTCAAAATGGACTACAGTGAATTTATATATGTCATTTATAAGGCACATGTAACTCAGAATAAGAATACATAGAACAAGGTCAAAACCATTTGATTCAAAACTCCAAGTTGGCACCAGATATTCAAAATTCAAATAGATTCAACTTGTCATAGTTCTCATATAAATGCGTTTTGAGAGACAACTTCGCTCTTTCACATTAAATTTTACCTCTGCGACCTTTCTCTGGAACTCAGCTTCCATTTGAGCACGAATGGCGGCGATCTCCTTCTCAGCTTCTTCTTTCGCTTGTTTCAGTCTAGCCATTTTTGCTGGAAACAGAAAGCAAGATTGGTATAAATCTCTTGAATTCTAATCTCANTGGTTTAGGAAGAGAGAGCACAACAAAACAGATACAAAAGAGAAAGAAAAAAAAAAGGAGAAAACGAAGATCCATATTTGGATGTATGACTAATATTGTCCAAATAGAAAATAATATTGTTTGAATGCATAGATTATTATAAAAAAACCCTTGAAGATATACACGTTACTGGCACATTGTGTTTTTCGTCTATTTTTATAACTGCAGTTAGTGTCAAGTATCAAATTGACTAAATGTTTAAACTTTAGGGATGAAATTAACGAAATTAAAATTTTAGAGATAAAAGTGTAACAAACGGTAAACTTTAGAGACTATGGATGCAATTTACGCTTTTAAAAAGTCATATTAATTTTACTCTCTCCCTCTCCCTCTCCCAATCTGCAAATAGTATGTTGTTTATGGCGTTAACCATGGTCAGCGGTGATTTACTGTCACCGACGGTTGTCGTATAAACTCCGTTGGGAAAATGGACGGCTGAGATTGAACACTGGTTGGTGTGGGACTGTGTGTGTGTGTGTTGTGTCCGTGACAACGGGGTCTAGTTGGGAAGAGCCTCTTTTTGTCTTGTTTCTCTCTGACGCTTGTCGTTTAGCAAGTGGGGACCATGAACGAGCGAACACCGTCGGCGAAAGAATGGAGCCCCCCCCTCCCTCTTCTTTTTCTTTTTTTTAATGATTAAAGTTTATTTTATATTTATTTTTCTCGTACGTGACTGGACTTACCTTAATTGTAATATTTGCATGTTTAGAATCAATTATAAATGTTATTATTCATTCTAAAAATTTAATATCAATCACAAAAACATTAAAAGAGTATAACTTGATCTAAAAAATATAATTTTTTTACAAATGATAAGTTAAATCTGTCGAGCTCATGTTTTTAAATAAATTTAAAATATTATTCAAATTCAACTCGTTTAAAAAATGAGTCTAGCTTGAGTCGAGTTATAAATTTTGAGTAGTTCAATTACTTTACATATTAACGAGTCGAGTTTATGAATTCAAATCTAAATCCGTTTAAAAAAACTTAATTGAATTCAAATAAACTAATTAAAATATTAGTCCAATTAAATAGATTTAAATTTGGATTGAATTTAGATTAAATTTCACTCCATGGAGGGGCCTAAATATGACTATTTGTTGATAGTATGATTCTCATCATGCAATTTATAATTAAACGGAATTCACCCGATTTCAAACTAATCGGGCAAGCGAGCTTGAGTATGTTTTGGACATTCTAAGAGGGAGCACCCTAGCAATTATAACTTCTAAGTGAAATAGAAAAGGATAATTCTATGTGCATTAAATTTATGCACAAAAACTTATACCAAATCAATTTTAGTTGTTGAATCACTAATGGGACCATTGATTCAACAACTACAAGTGATTTAGTGTAAATTTTGATATATATTTTTAACATACATAACATTGCTCAATAGAAAATAATCAAAATACATAGAAATGGTAATGTCATTCCCGCACCCAAAGGTCACCGCTTCTTTGTTTGTTTAATAGATTTGGACGGTTGGTTTGAAGTAAAATAGTTTAATTTATCATTCAATTCCATGTTTGGTTAAAATTTTTAAATCCAAAATTCATATCCCAACCCGTAACTGGCCCGGATGATTAAACCCATGAGAGGGTGAGTTTGAAATCAACCAGCCTAAGATCATTGTAAGTGGATTTTTCTTTCCTTAATCTACCCAATTACAAAGGATTGAATAGGACAATTTAGTCAATTACACAACAAATGTTTAGTTATAATTATAATTAATCTGGGGATCCCATACGTGTATATGTTACCCACCAAACACAAGTATAAATAAAATTCATCTATGAATCCCATGTACAACCAATCCAATCCCCATACCCAAAATATCCAAACATGCCACTGTTGTTTTGCTTTGAAGGTGCCACGGGATGGGTTCGGGCAACACACCCAAACCCCCCTCTCCCCTTCAAAAAAAAAACCCCAAAAAAACCCCCTCCTTTGTATATCTCAGTTGATGCTTTGTTTTGATAGTATCATATGAATGCTGCTCAACAGATTCTTCAGCAAACACAAAGGGGTCTTCAATAAACCATAGGAGAGTAGGTGTCTGTCCTAATAATGACTACTGATACAAAGAGCACGTAGGAAACGGTTTTATTCAATCAAGGATACCAATACAGACAATAAACATACTCAGATACAGATTGAAACAAGCTTCTCATTGTCATCCGAGGGGAAATCCATAAAACAATACCCTAGAGCTTGATCGAGATCTTAGTTTCTTACACTTGTCACGTGCTTCAGAAGCATCTGGACAACATCATGGGAAATTCGTTCAGCCTCTGCTTTCAGATTATGGATCTTTGCTTCCGTTTCTTGTTCAAGACGCTTCACATTAGCACCCGAGTCTCCACTACTCTGTTTGATGACACAGGATAACATCTAATTACTGCATAAATAACATGAAATACAATGGCAAAGAGCCATTGAAAATTCTATAATTCCATGTATGATACGGACAACAAAAGAAGTTGGGAATAAGGATGATAAAGAGGAGGACATAAAAACTTCTCATGAATATAAGTAACTTGGACAATAAAAACTCACATTAGACAGTTCTTTATTATTAACTTTTTCAGATACATCTAATGAGTTTGGACTCAAAATGGACTACAGTGAATTTATATATGTCATTTATAAGGCACATGTAACTCAGAATAAGAATACATAGAACAAGGTCAAAACCATTTGATTCAAAACTCCAAGTTGGCACCAGATATTCAAAATTCAAATAGATTCAACTTGTCATAGTTCTCATATAAATGCGTTTTGAGAGACAACTTCGCTCTTTCACATTAAATTTTACCTCTGCGACCTTTCTCTGGAACTCAGCTTCCATTTGAGCACGAATGGCGGCGATCTCCTTCTCAGCTTCTTCTTTCGCTTGTTTCAGTCTAGCCATTTTTGCTGGAAACAGAAAGCAAGATTGGTATAAATCTCTTGAATTCTAATCTCAACCAATGGGATGACTTTATTCTAAGTTCGGATCAAGAACTTAGGCTTCATCATGTAACATTTATAAAAGTATTATGTACATCAACATTCATGGCATATAAGCATTATGCAGATGACCATCCATGTATTCATTCCTTTATGTGTGGCATTAATGCCTAACCAGCATCTCGTAGCCACAACATAACATAACATTNCGACGGTTGTCGTATAAACTCCGTTGGGAAAATGGACGGCTGAGATTGAACACTGGTTGGTGTGGGACTGTGTGTGTGTGTGTTGTGTCCGTGACAACGGGGTCTAGTTGGGNCTAACCAGCATCTCGTAGCCACAACATAACATAACATTTACTAGGGACTGATTTGTTCTGCTGCTCACCAATTTCCAACAAACAATGTTCTCCTTAGGCAATAACTACACCCTAAACTCTCCCAAAAAAAAAAAAAAAATTCCCAAAAGGAACCCCTTCTTTCTCTTTTGATTGGCATGTATCATTCTTGGTCCCATCATGTTGCGCACACACACACACGCATTACTAACAACTGCTCATCATCCTGGACATTAGATCGATTTGAGAAAACGTCACAGCACAAAGACAAGCACCNAATGTTATTATTCATTCTAAAAATTTAATATCAATCACAAAAACATTAAAAGAGTATAACTTGATCTAAAAAATATAATTTTTTTACAAATGATAAGTTAAATCTGTCGAGCTCATGTTTTTAAATAAATTTAAAATATTATTCAAATTCAACTCGTTTAAAAAATGAGTCTAGCTTGAGTCGAGTTATAAATTTTGAGTAGTTCAATTACTTTACATATTAACGAGTCGAGTTTATGAATTCAAATCTAAATCCGTTTAAAAAAACTTAATTGAATTCAAATAAACTAATTAAAATATTAGTCCAATTAAATAGATTTAAATTTGGATTGAATTTAGATTAAATTTCACTCCATGGAGGGGCCTAAATATGACTATTTGTTGATAGTATGATTCTCATCATGCAATTTATAATTAAACGGAATTCACCCGATTTCAAACTAATCGGGCACGCGAGCTTGAGTATGTTTTGGACATTCTAAGAGGGAGCACCCTAGCAATTATAACTTCTAAGTGAAATAGAAAAGGATAATTCTATGTGCATTAAATTTATGCACAAAAACTTATACCAAATCAATTTTAGTTGTTGAATCACTAATGGGACCATTGATTCAACAACTACAAGTGATTTAGTGTAAATTTTGATATATATTTTTAACATACATAACATTGCTCAATAGAAAATAATCAAAATACATAGAAATGGTAATGTCATTCCCGCACCCAAAGGTCACCGCTTCTTTGTTTGTTTAATAGATTTGTGCTTCTTTGTTTGTTTAATAGATTTGGACGGTTGGTTTGAAGTAAAATAGTTTAATTTATCATTCAATTCCATGTTTGGTTAAAATTTTTAAATCCAAAATTCATATCCCAACCCGTAACTGGCCCGGATGATTAAACCCATGAGAGGGTGAGTTTGAAATCAACCAGCCTAAGATCATTGTAAGTGGATTTTTCTTTCCTTAATCTACCCAATTACAAAGGATTGAATAGGACAATTTAGTCAATTACACAACAAATGTTTAGTTATAATTATAATTAATCTGGGGATCCCATACGTGTATATGTTACCCACCAAACACAAGAATAAATAAAATTCATCTATGAATCCCATGTACAACCAATCCAATCCCCATACCCAAAATATCCAAACATGCCACTGTTGTTTTGCTTTGAAGGTGCCACGGGATGGGTTCGGGCAACACACCCAAACCCCCCTCTCCCCTTCAAAAAAAAAACCCCAAAAAAACCCCCTCCTTTGTATATCTCAGTTGATGCTTTGTTTTGATAGTATCATATGAATGCTGCTCAACAGATTCTTCAGCAAACACAAAGGGGTCTTCAATAAACCATAGGAGAGTAGGTGTCTGTCCTAATAATGACTACTGATACAAAGAGCACGTAGGAAACGGTTTTATTCAATCAAGGATACCAATACAGACAATAAACATACTCAGATACAGATTGAAACAAGCTTCTCATTGTCATCCGAGGGGAAATCCATAAAACAATACCCTAGAGCTTGATCGAGATCTTAGTTTCTTACACTTGTCACGTGCTTCAGAAGCATCTGGACAACATCATGGGAAATTCGTTCAGCCTCTGCTTTCAGATTATGGATCTTTGCTTCCGTTTCTTGTTCAAGACGCTTCACATTAGCACCCGAGTCTCCACTACTCTGTTTGATGACACAGGATAACATCTAATTACTGCATAAATAACATGAAATACAATGGCAAAGAGCCATTGAAAATTCTATAATTCCATGTATGATACGGACAACAAAAGAAGTTGGGAATAAGGATGATAAAGAGGAGGACATAAAAACTTCTCATGAATATAAGTAACTTGGACAATAAAAACTCACATTAGACAGTTCTTTATTATTAACTTTTTCAGATACATCTAATGAGTTTGGACTCAAAATGGACTACAGTGAATTTATATATGTCATTTATAAGGCACATGTAACTCAGAATAAGAATACATAGAACAAGGTCAAAACCATTTGATTCAAAACTCCAAGTTGGCACCAGATATTCAAAATTCAAATAGATTCAACTTGTCATAGTTCTCATATAAATGCGTTTTGAGAGACAACTTCGCTCTTTCACATTAAATTTTACCTCTGCGACCTTTCTCTGGAACTCAGCTTCCATTTGAGCACGAATGGCGGCGATCTCCTTCTCAGCTTCTTCTTTCGCTTGTTTCAGTCTAGCCATTTTTGCTGGAAACAGAAAGCAAGATTGGTATAAATCTCTTGAATTCTAATCTCAACCAATGGGATGACTTTATTCTAAGTTCGGATCAAGAACTTAGGCTTCATCATGTAACATTTATAAAAGTATTATGTACATCAACATTCATGGCATATAAGCATTATGCAGATGACCATCCATGTATTCATTCCTTTATGTGTGGCATTAATGCCTAACCAGCATCTCGTAGCCACAACATAACATAACATATACTAGGGACTGATTTGTTCTGCTGCTCACCAATTTCCAACAAACAATGTTCTCCTTAGGCAATAACTACACCCTAAACTCTCCCAAAAAAAAAAAAAAAATTCCCAAAAGGAACCCCTTCTTTCTCTTTTGATTGGCATGTATCATTCTTGGTCCCATCATGTTGCGCACACACACACACGCATTACTAACAACTGCTCATCATCCTGGACATTAGATCGATTTGAGAAAACGTCACAGCACAAAGACAAGCACCTTTGGATACAGACATTTTTCTGGGATATACAAGTGAATGGACACAACATGGGTTGTATGCAAAATTTAGGAAGGTTTGAAGGAGGAGGTGATGGTAATGCTGACTGTGGACGCAATGTCTGGCCTTAATGCAGAGGTGGTGATTTGATGCAAGTGGTAAAGTGAGGATGGACCATGGCTGTGCTGTAGTATCTGTGCTTTTGTGTTGATGGTATGAGGCTGGAAGTAGGGAGCAGGCCCACTTTCCACTTTGTTACTATGATGCGGGGCGGCAAGCAAGTGAATGTAATCCTGGCCTCCCTCAACCGGTGTGTGTGAGCTTCGCTCCTAATAGCTCTGTACCGCCGCTGGCCACTTTCGTTCCTCTACCCTATCCATTGAGTCATTCCAAAGAGATGTGATTATTACACATTCCCAGCTTGACATTCAACTCCCTCAAATCAACTCGCACGATCATCTAAGCTAGGCGAACAGTGTCAACTTCTTACACACCATCATTGGCTCGTGAACTCGATTTTTTAGGGCCATTGGTGGAGCATAATAACAAAAGCAGAAACAAACTCACAAAAGCATACATGCGCCAAGCAATGCAAAAGAGCTTTTGAAGGACCTCAAGAGTCGGAGATTTGACAGTGTAAAAACCAATCAGGTTTAAAAAAATAATAGCAGCAAAAATACCAGCTCTGGCAGTGTTGACAATGTGCTGAGCTTCTTGTTCTGCAGCCAACAAGAGTTGAATTCCATTCTGTGTCCTGTTGGTTTCCATACTTGCTGCAATGTACCAATGCAGCTATGCTGAAATGTCAGATGCAATTTATTAGATGAAAATAACACTTTAACAACAGGCAAATTTCCACATCAACATAATTGTGACAGTTCCGCTGTTTCACAATGCTCATGAGATGCAATGACATAAAATGAAATAAATTGAAAGGACCAGACTCCGTTATGACACTGCATCTCTGGTTATGGTTATAGAGAAAGCACATGTATTTATATCAGTTGGCAGGCAAGTATTAGGTGCATATTCCAAAATATCTTAATCTCAATAGATAACCAGACCATCAAAAGATAGCCGACGACATCAAATAACAAAGGATGCTTGCATATTTACTCTAGCATTACAGACCATGGTTACCACAATTCACTAAACTCTTAACGACCCACGATCTGGGTACATTAATCCGAAACATGGTGGGTTTGCGATCTAGATCACCAAAACTGACGACCCTAAATTGCAATACTAACTCTAAATCAATTCACTTTATAACATGTAGCACAAATATAAAATGCATATTAATTGACTACATGTATATAGATTTATAATTATATATTATTTTAGAAAATAGAAAATCAAGCACAATTATAAGATAAATGGTAACTAATTTAATATTTATGAATGTTTTGTAATATATAATGTTATATAGTAGTGAAAACGATCTACATAAGAGTTCTAAAACGAATTACGACCCAAAATACTGTATCAACTAAACCTACTTTCATTCTACCACGTACCCAAGAATGTGTCGTATCATATACCCGTACCTGTGCCACGTACCAAAGCGACCCACGATCCAAATCAACGTTATTTAAGGCGTAAAGCGACCGAAGCAACCAAGACTCCTAAAGCTTAGGCGAGAAACGAAGTAAAATGTTTTACCAAAGCGAAACGAACAGTTACAAATAACGTAAATATTTTAGTTTAATTACTTCTAAACATTTAAGTTATAATTTTACATATACTAAATATTTAAATGCAAGCAAAATCATAAACATTTAAATTAAAACAAATACTAATATTTATGTACAGCCAAGGGCTTGTACACATGTATTGAATCACATTTCATAACAGAGTTGTAAACAATTTCATATTGACTGGTGTTCAAGCTTGCATCATCAAAACCAGTGTTTTGAAAAGCACGCCTAGGTGAGAAGTTAGGCGAAGCGAAGGGATCTCGCCTAGAGAATCCCAAGCGAAGCGAATGTGAGTGAAGTGAGCGGCTTGCGCTTAAGTGAAAGGAGAAAAAGTGAACGCCTGAGTCATTAGAGGCGAAATTGTTTTATTTTTATTGTGGACATTGGAAAAAAAAATTAAAAGACATTGATGCACCGAATTATCCCCTTATCCCATAAATACACCTCAAACCCTAATTTTTAGTCAGATTGGCTTCGCTGCTCTGCTTCTACTCCTACACGATCGCTGGACACATCGACACAATACAGAAATATTGGCTGCTCCTACACGATCACTCGATTGAGACTGACGATCACTAGAGACTGGAGGTTGGAGGCTGATGATCGTTGGTTGCTCCTTCCTCACTGATTGCTGGAGGTTAGTCTCCTATTTTTCTTCTCTCTTCTATTTCCCTTTTTTTCTTCTCTCTTCTGGTTCTAATTTTTTTTTTTTTTGCTTTTATTTTTTTTCCTGATTCTGCTCTTTTTTTGTTTTTTTTTTTTTTTCTGATTCTGATTATGCTTCTTTTTTTTTTTTTTTTCTGATTGTGCTGCTGTTTTGCTGTCCTGCTTTTTTATTTGCTTGAATTGTGTCTTATGTTTTTAAATATTAGGATTTAGAATATTATTAGTGTTTATTTGAATATAAATGTTTAAACTATGATTGTTATTAAAATTTGAGATATTATTAGTGTTTGTTTTAATTTAAATGTTTATGATTTTACTTGTATTTAAATATTTAATATATATAAAATTAGAACTTAGATGTTTAGAAATAATTAAACTAAAATATTTAATTTTTTTTAACTGTTTACTTTGCTTCGGTAAAGCGTGTCGCTTCGCTTATCACTTCTCGCTTAGGCGTTAGGAACCTTGGTCACTTCGGTTCATTTTACGCCTTAAATAAAATTGATCAAAACAAAAAGTGACTATATCACAGAACAGCAGAAGCAGCATAGCAAAATCAGTACTATCAGAACAGCAAAACAGTAGAAGCAAAATCAGCAAAATAGCAGAAGTAGAATCAGAAGAAAAAAAAAACAAAAGCAGAATCAGGAAAAAAAAAACTAAAGTAGAAAAAAAATCTCAGCATTAGACAATCAGTAGAAGCAAAAAAAAAAAAAAAACTAGAAGAAAGAAGAACCAGAACTAAAAGAGAGAAGAAGAAGCAGAGAAACAGAAGAACCAGAGAAGAAGCAGAAAAGAAGAAGAACCAGAGAAGAAGAGAAATAGAAGAGAGAAGAAAAAGAGAATGAAACCAACAGTAGTCATCGTCGTTTGTGTCCAGCGAGGAAGGAACATAAAAAGCCAGCAATCGTGTCTGATCATCTAAGCAAAATTAGGGTTTGGGGCTGTATTTATGGGATAAGGGGATAATTCGGTGTGTAGGCATCTTATAATTTTTTTTTCAATTGCCCAATCCAACAATCCATAATAAAAATAAAACAATCCAAGACAACTTCGCCTCGCATGACTAAAGCGCTCGTTTTTCTCGCTTTTTTCTCGATTCAGTCAGATTCGCTTCGCCTGAGATGCTCAAGACGAAAAACCCTCGCTTCTCTTCTCGCGTTGGCGAGCTTTTCAAAACACTGATCCAGGTAACATTGTTACAAACACTGCAAGTTTTCATGTCTTACAGAAAAAACCCTCACCACACAAATTTGAGAATGCTTTCAAGCAATATCTCAAAAACTAAGTTTGTAAAAGCGGGGAGCAAAACAACTTGAGTTGAATGGTGAATTGTAGCACCTTTCATTATAGTCAATTTAGTCAGAATTCCTAAATTTTTGTGTGGAAACAACGACTACTCCCAAAAAAAGTAGGCATTTTTCTACTGAAAAGTTAGCACAGAAAAATAACAAAGGTGCATAAGGGGAGTCAAAGCCGCATGCACACACAGGACTATTGAACACAAAAATCAAGCTCCCACCACACCATTTAATATCACCAAGGTCATCTACAAAGCAAATTAGAGAATTGAGAAACTTAGCTAAAAAATATAAATGAGAAAAATCACTAGTTTGGATTACGAGGCACCTCAACATCCCGAAAAAATGTCTTTGTTCCATTCCTCTCAATGAGACCACATAAGATACGGCCATGGATCAAATTTTTGTTTTTGTGCATAGTCCTGATCAGCTCAGTAAGAAACACGAACACAGATACGACCCGACATGGACATGACATTTCTCAAAAAAGTAGGTCACAGACATGTTGAGAATACGTTACAAAAAATTATATTTTGTATATAACATTATATAATTTATCACAAATATAGTGATAATAATATGGAATTCAAAAAAAATTCAGTATTTTATGATAAGTAAATCTTATGTGAAGTCATCTGTGTAAATTTTTTGACTAAAACATCATTATAATAGTCAATGATCATCAATTTTTTTTGCAAACATGTGTACCTGATATATAATTTAAGTAATTGCTCATTTTCTCAATTCCTCTTTTTTAAAATTTTTATACATCTTTTATTTTTATTATTATATTTTGAGGAGTACAATTTTGACATGTCTATTATTAGTAATTATATATTCTCAAAATTTTAAACTTCGTCAATTACATTTCAACACCTGTTTATTGTTTAGTAGTAAACATGTTCTAAAGAAGTGTCAGACACATATCCGAAATTAAAATTTTTTTATTTAACTATGAAAATGAATAAAAGAGTATCAGACACGTGTCCAAAGAGTGTCAGTGTCTGACATGAATACGTCACCTTCTTGAGAGTGTCCGTGTTCTCCGGGGCCAACCCGACAAAAGATGATACCCTAAGCGAAAGTTATAAACAAGACCCTTTAAAAATTTATTATAAATCTATAATATAAAATATGATAGATTTCAATAAGTCCATCCGACGGTCTCAAATAGACTTATGCAACGACCACCAACGTCCCTCTCAAAACCATTCACATTGAATTTCCCCCTCGCCAAATTCATCCTTTCTTACTTACGTTACACCGTGCCTTCAGATACGGGTTACCCCTAATATAATTTTAACGTACGACGAAATTTCATTTAAAATTTGTTATTCACTTTTTGTGATGTAAAATTAGTGATTTATTTTTTATATTCACATTTTGTTAGTATATCTTATTCAATTTTTATGCTTTTAATATTTGGATTCATATTTTTACAGTTAACATATTCAAAACCAAAAATTCTTGTAAGCAAAACAAAGTGTTAAAACAATAAATGACTATATACTAAGAGAAGATTTAATAAAAATGGAACAATAATACATGATAAATAGAGATTGTATAAATTGACTCTTTATTCATCTTTTAAATTGTCTAATAAATTATACCTTCACAAAAAAATAGTTGAATTAAATAATTATATTATAGAAGTATAAAATAATAATTTATTCATGTTTATATGTGTATATACTGATCAAGAAAAAGAAAAGAAATTTTTTTAGTGATATGAGTAAATAAGTATACAATTTTTTTTTTAATTCAGACTAGTTAGTGTGTGTGTGTGAGAGGGAGAGAGATTTATTTGTAGACTCTAATTGTATTGCGACATTTGATATTCTAGTGATTATAGGAAGAGACTATAGGGCCTTTTGATTTTACTTGGGCTTTTTCTAAGAATTTGCATATGATTAGGTCTTTTGTGTGTAAAATATTTTTTTGGGCCAAAATAATAGGTGAAGACCACAAACATAATTGGGAGCCCTCTATTTTTTGAGGCCCAAGGCTATTTAGTTGGCCTACCTTTTGGGCCAGTCCTGGTGCTCTCAACAATGGAAAAGATTTGGAAACATAAAAGAAACAAAGAAAATTTTGAAAAATCATT